TCCACCCTACACCTCGTGGTTAAGGACGGCCCAGCAAACATTTGTTTACCAAATGTTTGCATTTCCCTCTCCATGTGAATTACCTGCCTGACCTTGGAGCCTGCCCAGCCCCTGTGTCCTCAGCTCCAGATGGCACCTGAGCCTTAGCTGACCCCTCTGTCCAGACGGTCTCATGTTCTTACGGAATCCCCAAGGGCACTTCTGTAAGAAATTCGGTTCTTTTCTCCTGCTAAGCTGTCTCACGTTAATTTAGTTATTAGTCCAGCCAGAAGAACTTAAAAGGGTAGGAGGAAAGTTAGTTTTTCTCCCCCACAGCGTTAACTCAGAGTACTTCACCGAGGGTCTTATTGGCCACATTCTCTTTTTATACTTTCCTGTATGAAGAAGCCCGAGTAAATGTAATAGACCAGTTGTGAAGTAAATTTACTCATAAGTGACCCTTTATTTTACCTGAAATAAATTGTTTTTCTACAGAAAAGAGTAGCCCTGGCTGGTGTGGCACAGTGGATTGAGTGCCAGCCTGTGAACTAAAGGGTTGCTGGTTTGATTCCCAGTCAGGGTACATAGCTGGGCTGTGGGCCAGGTCCCAGTAGGGGGCGCATGAGAGGCAACCACACATTGATGTTTCTCTCCCTCTTTCTCCCTCTCTAAAAATAAATAAATAAAACCTGTAAAAAAAGAATAAAAGATTAGTAACGAACACACAGGCATGTATCTAATGGAGGTCATCTCTGTGTGGCGGGATTAGGGGCGGTTTGAAATGCGTTCTTCGAGTTCTCTGTGTTTCCTTATTCTCCTATGACACAGCTCTCTGTGCAGTCGGGGGACACCTGCGTGTTGTTGGGTGGGGGGGCAGGCTGTGTGAAGAGGGAGGCCCCTGCTCGGCCTAACTGTTGCTGGACAAACACTTTCATTTTTCTAAATACATCGAGCCCACTAATTGCTGCTTTTAGAAAGATCAAACTCCCCGGGCAGACAGAGCCTGGATTGCAGCTATTCCGATTTGCCCGTTTCGGCAAGGGCCCCGCAGCTTAGATTCCTGAGGGGCAGGTGGCGCCAACGGCAGACCCTCTGCTCTGAGAGCCGAGGAGCCCTTTCACCTTCTCACCCTTGCGGGGGGGCTAACCACTCTTTGGAGACCCGTGTTTGCCTCACAAACAAGCTTTGCCTCTGCCTGGATTCCCGCACAGGAGCCGGGCTGAGAATGGTTCCCCATTCCGGAGACTGCAGACCGAAGTGGGTTCCACCGGGAAATGACAAAGGCTGGTGTTATCAGTTACTGACGTCATAAAATCAGTTTCCAGTTCTGACAACACATTGTCTCACTTTTGGGGAACCTGTTTTAAGAACAGCTGCGGAGTGGGCACGCCGATAAAAACCAGCTCAAGGGTGCCCCATCTTATTAACTCTTTGAGGGCAGGCTCCTTCTTCACTGCCAGCCCTGACCAGGACCGGAGGGCAGCTGGCCTCTCTGGCTTCTTCTCCAGCAGGAAGCAGGGGCGCAGGCTCACTCGGGCTGATCAGGTGCTGGATCCTGGCCCTGTCAATCATTTGTCGTGTGACCTTGGGTCAGTTATTTGCTCTTTGAGCCTCGATTTTTTAATTTTGAAAAGTGGAATTAACATCTCCTTCCCTCTAGATTTGTAGTGAGGATTCACTGTGGCAACCACATCAGATACAGAGGTTGGCACACAGTGGGTAGAAAAGATGAAGTGTGCTCGGGACCCAGGCGAACCGAAGGGGTTCAGGAGCGGCGCTGAGAACAGTTCTGCCTGACCGCTGGTTCCTGGCTGCTAGACAGAGTTTCTTAGCAGAGCTGACAGTGCTGGGGACAAGAATGACAGTGACGTGAAAAGAGTCCAGTTCCCATCAGTTATTTATTGAGCACCTACTACGTGCCCAATGTGGTTTTAGCTGTTGTAATCCCGAATGGGAGAGACCTAACCGACTGGCCCTTCCGGGGCAGGAGCTCCGTCACCTACGAGCAGATTGGGTTCTGACAACAGATGACGTGCGGCTTGCAAGCCCACACGGGCCACGGGGGGCGTGGGGTCGCAGTGCCTGGACGCGTTTCCACCAAGCGCAGGTGTGAGCTGGCTCTCCGAAGCTGTCAGACCATCCTTCTGGGTGATGTTTGTTTATAGCCCGCCTGTACCCAGAGTATACAGGGCTGTTGACCATGAAAACCTGTTGAGCCATCGGGACACGAACTCATATAACACATTAGTGACCCTGCTTGATGTGTGAAATTATCGTATAAATCTCAGTGTTGAAAGCAGTTATCTCAGGTGGTGAGATTAGAGACAACCTCATCAGAGGGAGAGATGTGGGGTCGGGGGACCAGTGAGGAGCTTCGAGGGAAAGGCAGACGGCAGAGAGCCCCCGGGTGAGCAGGAGCGGGGGCAGCTCCAGCTGCTGAAGGGCTGGCTGCGCGAAGCGGGTCCTTCTCCCCGGTTTCCTTTGCCACAACAACACTGCAGTGACCTGTCCCAAACACAGTGGCACAGAGTGAGTTTGGGTTGGTGGTTTAAGCTGGGTGGTGCCTCAGGTCTCAGGGGGGCTCCCTGGAGTGTTGGGGGTCCTTGGCTGTCGGCTGGGTCAGCGTGGCTCGGCTCCACATGTCTCTCAAGCCACCTGCTGGCTGCTTGGTGTGTTCCCAGAGCAGAAGCAGAGGTGACGGAGAGCAAGGGGAAGGGCAGGAGGCCCCTGCAGGCTGAGGTTCGGAACTGGCGCACCACTACTTCCGCCGTGTTGCCTTGGGAAAGTAGGTCACAGGTCTCGTTCAGATTCAAGGATGAAGTGGGCAGTGAGGGAGGGGGCAGACCCTGTCCATCCAGTGAGAACAGCTATGAAGTCAAAGGGTAAGTGGCCAGGGTGGGACCGTGTGCCACAGCCTGACGCTTACACAATGTTGAGGCCCCCTTTCAGGAAAAAGAACCTACATTATAAATATGAAATTTGACCCAGGGCTCTGAAAGGAGCCTGGTCACAGGTGGGGTGTTGGTGCTTCAGCTCCACCCGCCTCAGAACAAGTCTTCCTCTCACCGTGACAAGGAGGTGAGAAGCCTGAGGCCCCCGAGCAGGGGAGCCACCCTCATGCTGGTGGCAGAGCCCAGAGAGGAAGCCCCCGGCCCTGGCGCCCGGATTCAGGCCGCTGTCCCCTCGGGGCTCGGTGGAGTCTGGCTGAATGCCGTCTCCGGCTGCTCCTCCGTGGAGAGGCTGAGTGCCTGGGTTTAGACTTGGGTTTCTGTAAGTCTCAGACTCCCCCAAGTGAAAGTCACGGGAGACCCAGGGGAGGCCCCCCCATGTAAGGGCCTGCACCCATGAGCAGGTGGGCTCTGACAACTGACTGTCTGCTGTTCGCAAGGCCGCCGTGTCCGTGAGAAGGAGCTTGTGCATTTCTCTGTTTTTTGTAACCAGGAGAAAAACGTGTCAATACCCCTGCCCACGTGCACACACACACAATGTACACACGCATGCACACACAGGTATGCCAGGGCAGGAGGGACCTCAGGTGGCCTGTTCAGTCCCTTCTTTGACAGAGGGAACCTGGAAGTGTGGGGAAGCCGATGGCCCAGCTCAAACTGGGGCCTCAGAGGATCTTTGGGGACACAGGGTCCCCAGAACAGCCTGACTCTCCCGTGGTCCCCAGAGGAACCTGTATAGAGGAACAGTCTTGCCGACACTTAAAGACAACCAGAGAATTCTCTGTCCCTGAGTCAAAGGGCAACTTCGCCTGGGCAGGCCGGGCCTGGGAAAGCCCAGCATCAGAGTGTGGGCCTCAGGCAGCTCAGAGACTGTCCACTTCCCACCGTCCGTGCCCAAGGAAGCAAAGGTTACCCCAGGACCCCTTGTTTTTTTCAGGGCTGTCATTTTTCCTGGAAGCCAGACAGGGTCCCTATTTACAGAGGGCCCTGGGTGGAGGATGGGCTTACCCAGCACCGGCCCCCAACCCCACCCCCCAGGGCTGACCAGGCTCCCAGCCTGGATTGTTGATGCGGCTCTGGCCACACCCTGGAAAAGCCCTGGCTTATCGGCAGCTGTGTTTTCCTGTCCAAATAGCCCTCCAGCTCTTGTATTTGTTCCTGATTAGGGTACAAGGGGCTCAGGGCCCTCCTTGGGACTCGGTCGTCCTCAAGGTGTCATAGGAGGTGTGTGACCCATAGCAAAAGTGGCTCCAGGAGTAAAACAAGGGAAAGCCTCTATCTTTTTTCTAACGTCTGCACCCCACCTCTGAGGGCTTGCAGGGGTCCTGAGGGAGGAGGGAGTGGGCACAGAGGTGCCAGAAAACGGGCCAAGACCCACAGAGCTGGTGCTTTCTTCTTCCTACCGTGGCAGAAAGATTTTGTAAGGTGGGGGTTGGGGAGGAGTGAGGGATAAGGAGCCCTTGGCATTACTGACAAGCTTCTGGAAGGTTCAGGCTGGGGTTGGCTCTCACCTGGAGGGCTGGTCACAGCTATAAGCGTTTCTGGTCTCTTCCTAGGATAGAGGCCGCTTCTGCCCCTTGGGCCAGCCGTTGCTCTGTCTTTGAGCCCCTTGCTTTGCAGCCTGGCTTTTGACGCCCCCTCAGCCCCATCTTCATGCCAACCTCTAGTCTAGAAGCGCCCCTCTGGCTTTTTGACTTCGGCCCTAAGTTCTCCTCAACACCATGAAACTCCTCACCTGGGCTCCGGAGAATCTGGCCACACCTGAAATTCCGGGCTTAGGGCCTTGTGTCTGTTGTTCTGGCTCTGATGGAGCTGCCGCCCACCCCCCGCCCTCCCCTTTCTGCCAGTTGAGAGGGTTGAGTAAGAGCTGGTCTGACCTGATGCGTCTGTCTGCAATTTCCAGAGGGCGACGCCATGCCACCTCGAAGTTCTCATTTCAGAAAACCCATCGTGGCTCTGTGTAGGGAGGTATTTCTTAAAAGCTTATTCACCATCATTACAGCACTTTGCCCGTTACACCTCCTTCCCCTTTTAGTTTCGTCCACCAGCGGGAAGTGGCTGAAGGAGGAAGTGAGAGTGTGGCACTGAGCAGAAGCAGTAGGGCTGGAGGATGAAGGAGTCGAGACCGTAGTTGGCGCTTGCTGAGCGGCTGGGCCCGAGGGGCCTGTGCGCGGAGGAAAATGCACCTGCTGCTGCTCTTGCCCCTCCTATTCCGGCTCTCAGGTGAGTGAGGCCTGGGTCTGAACTCGGGGGAGAAGCTGATGGGCAGGAGGAGGTGGTGGCAGCAGGGGAGGTGGCCCAGGAGCTGTCCTGCTGAGAGGAGGACCCCATGTCTAAGGAGCCCTGAGCCTGTGCATTTCATCCACTAGCTCACCCAGTGTTTCAGTGCCCGCAGCTGCCAACGCAGAAATGTGCAGCTTGGCTTTCGTAACGAACCTGGCACTGGTGCATAATTCCTCCTACCCGGGGGCTGATCATTCAAAATGCACCGGTGGGTGGAACCCGCTGGTCCAAGCGGTGGAGCCCTGGCTGCTCAGGAGGCTGGTGCTACTTGGTCCCGGATCTTGGGAGTGTGTTGTAAGCCAGGCGGGGCTTCGGGGAAGAAGGGAAGGTGGAGGGCACTTTGGGAGGAAAGCGGGGAGGTTGCCCGACAGGGAGGGGGAGGTGATTCTAGGTATTGGGGGTAGAAGGAAATAGCAGAAATTGCCAAGGGATGGGCACAGTCAGAAGGAGGTGAATTGGTAGGGTGACGAGGGAAAGAGGGGATGAGACGTGGGCAGGGACAGAGGGCTGAAGTAAACTTTAAGTTGATGGATGACATTTTGATTAAAAATCAAGAGGATTTTCTTGAGAATGTGTCAGGGCTTGAGGGTGTTAGGGCTTGACCTTTGGGCTTCTCTCTCTGGGGTCACGCCCTTGTCGATCTCACCTCCTCCCTTGGCTTTAAACACCAACTGTATACAGGGGTCTCCCCATTTTGGATTCCTATCCAGGACATCTTCCTGGACTCCAGAATCTTCTATCCAATCGCCCATTGAACATCTCTGCTCGGTTGCTGACATTTCCTCCAATGTGACCTGACCACACCTCCCCCCTTGAATTCCTTTCTCATCCACCTTTGTGTTTGGGACTCCCATCCTCCCAGGTGCTCAGGCAAAACCTGGGGGACAGCTCTCCTTCCTCTTATATCCCATAACGAGCCTTTGAAAATGTAAGCTGGGTCCTGGCTCTCCTCCACTCAACACCTTCCAACGACTCCCCATTCTACTCCCCATCCCACTCGGAGTGGAAATCCCAACTCTTTGCTGAGGCTACGAGGTGCTCACCACCCAGGTTCTTCCACCACATCATTGCCGTGGTCTCCTCTCTCCTCTGTTCCCTCCAGTTCAACCCTCTTTGGCCACACTGGCCTCTTAGATGTGCTTCGAACATGCCAGGCACACTCCTACCCCAGGGCCTTTGCACTGCTATTTTCTTTGCCCAGGATGCTCTTCCCCAGAGCCACAGGCTCGAGTCCCTCACATCTTTTGTGCCCCTGTTTCTGCCTGAGGCCTTCACTGATGACCCAAATTATAAGAGCAATTTCCTCCTATTATTATTCTCCACTGTTGGTCTCCTCCCTCCCCCCACCCTTGATAAAATGTAAGCCTCAGGAGGGCAGGGTTTTTTGTGCCTACAGCCATCCCAGGTACAGATTGGACAACCAGTACTGGTGTGAATGATCGTATGTATCTCATGGACAGGAAACAGCGTGGTTGCTGCCACTTCCCCCCACCCCAGGCCAAATCTTCCTACTTTTACAGGATTGAACAAGTGAGGCTCTTATCACTGATCAGAGAGGGTGTATATCACTCAGGGGGATGGAACATGGTGTGGCCACTTAGGAAAACAATTGACCTTCTTCCAAATGCTAAACACGTGGTTACCATGTGACCCAGCAATTCCGCTTCCAGGTAAATAAATACCCAAGGGAGTGGAAAGTGTACATTCCTGTAAACACTTGGAACGCCAGCGTTCGTGGCTACATTATTCATAACAGCGCAAATGTGGAGACAGCCCACCACGGGCTGCGCACCACCCGGTGGGCAGGTAAATAGGACAGGGTCGGTCTGCACGGTGGGACAGTCATCGGTCCTACACAGGGGTGCAGCGCTGACAGGCTGCAGCCTGGGCGAACCCTGAAAACGTTAAGCTAAGTGAGAGAATCCAGACACAAAAGGCCACACATCGTGTGAGTTCCATCTGCAGGCAAGTCCAGGAAGTGTAAATTCATGGAGACAGATCGTAGATTAGTCGGCCGGGCGGGGACAGTGACGGCTAAGAGTTGCAGGGGTTTCTCTTTGGGGTGATGAAACTGTTCCGGAATTGGTGCTGATGTCCACACGGCTCTGTGAGCAGACAGAAAACCACGGAGGCGTGCACTTCGGCAGGGCCGGCTGTGTGCTATGTAAATAAATCGTGTCTCAGGAAGAATATGGTCAGTGAGCAGAGAGAAGAACTGGGAGCAGGGGGTTCCGGGGCTGCCTTTGGGGGGCGTGTGAGGACCTGAGGCTCTGGAGGCAGGGATTCACGGGAGCCAGGCAGCCTTGCACGGTTGTGACCCCTGCAATTCGATCGTTTGTTCCATCGGTCACAGAAATGACGTCGATAGTTGCCGTGAGGGAAGCCGAGCTGGTGCCTGGACAGTGTGGGTGGGTGGGATGTTTTAGACGGGGCGGGCTGGAAGGAGCCCTCCGAGGAGGGGACATCTGAGCTGAGCCTGGATGGCGAGGAGGAGCCGGCACTTACGATCGATCGATGGATCGGGGACAGCTTTCCAGGCACAGGAAGGGGCCAGGGCAGGGCTCTGGTGTGGAAATGAGCTTGGCCTTGGTGGGTTTGAGGGACAGAGGGGCCACGTGGCTTTGTTACATGCTTCAGAAAAGCCCGGTGAGTCCGGTTGGAAGGGTAGTACTGGCTTTGGGGGGGGAAAGGGTTTTAAGGGAGGAAAATGACCCGTCCAGGACCGCAGGCTGGTGGAGAGAGAGCCGGGGGCGGCTTGTTGGTGCGGACGGGGAGGAGGCCGACTTTGGGTGAGACATTAGGAGACACGTTGGCAGGGAGCGCACACTGGGACTGCTTTCCCTCCAAGGTCCTGATGGTGAGCGGATGTGAGCGGTGCTGTGTGAGTGTGCGTGCGTGTGTGCACGTGGTTTGGGTAGACTGAGGCAAAGCAAAGGGGAGAGTGTGTCGGAAGCGAGTGGGCATTGCTGTGTGCTAATTAGGAACCTGGTCACTGGTGTGAACCTCCGAGTCACCTCTCACCAGCCTCACCCCCAGAACGTCCAATCACAAGTGACACATGTCCCCGGTGCTGCTTTCCTCTTCCAAGGGGCTTGTTGTTTTGAAAGTGCACGGGAAGAGCAACATCAGCTGGAAAGTGCCCGCTGGGCTTCGCAGCATTCATGTGCTGTGAGAAAGGAGGAGACTCGTAATTACTCCGTTTTTTCAGGGAAAACTGTGCTGCCTTGTCCAACTTGTCCAGCTGCTCCGCAAGGGGCAGCTGAGACAGACCAGATGGGGGTGCGGACTGGAGTGGAGACCAGCTGAGGTTCCTGCTGGGCTGAGGAAGGGACCCAGTCACTGCCAGGGGCTCAGCTTCCGCCTGAGCTAAGAGATGTGCCCTGAGGTCTAGGCCGTGAGTGAGAGACCACGCCTGGTGAGGGCGCTGTTCCGTGCAGCTCAGAGCTGCCCTCTGGGCCAGGAGATGCTCTGCGGGGCTGATGGCGAGTGAGCACCTGGACAGAGGGGTCCAAGCAGAGAGTTGCCCAGACGGTTCAGGTGTCGGGTCCCAAAGCCAATGCTCAGCAGAGATGGGCGGCAGGGTGGCTACGGATGGAGAGCGTGTGGCCATCTGTGTGAGTTAGTTGCCTGGTGCTGTTGGAACTAACCGCCCGAAAGTTAGAGGCTTAGAAAAGCACAACGCTGTTGTGTTGTAGTCCGTCAGCGACAGGCCTGTGTTCCCTCTGGAGGCTCAGGGTGAGAGTCCGGTTCCCTGACTTCCTTGGACTCCTGGGCCGGGCCTCATGCTCTGCTCTCGTCCTACCCGTCAGGTCTCTGGCTCCGCCCCTCTGCCCCCTCCTGTCAGCACCTCGGTGCTCATGCTGGGGAAGTGTCCCCAGCCCCAGATGCTTAATTTAATCACACCTTTAACTTAGCAAATTGGAAAAAGAGACCAAGTGGTAATCTGAAGGAAGTAAAACAAATAAAGTTACCTATATGAGAAATTAATAATTTAGAAAATAAATACAGTAACATTTACCAACGAAATCTTAAAACTGGTTTTTAATGCCGGGGAATGGTCAAGGTGGCGAAGGGGGAGGAGACACAGCGAAGGAGAAAATCTCGTGGTGTCTGTGACCAGTAAAAGGGGGCAGTGCGTGCAACCCAAACGTGCAATTTTTATCGCTGCGGACATTTTCATTATAAAAGGAGACTTTGTAATTCTAGTACCGTGTGCCAGACTTCCTGGGCAAAACAAAGTAAAACAAAACAATAGAACCAATTCAAGAACAATATTCACGAGAAAACACTTTTAAGTAACCAAAGAATTTGCCCCAGTCATTGGCCAGACAGTTTTGTGGATGAGCTTTTAGGATTCTGTAGAAACAAAAATTCCTTTGCTCTGTTCATGTTCCGGTCTCAGAGCATAAAAGTGATGGAAATCTGGAAACCAGTGCGTCTCTAAAATCGGACCTGACGGAGCCCAGGAAAGTGAGGACGAGGGCCTTGCCCTGGACAGACCGGTGGTGCCGGGTGCTGGTGCCACGCCCAGTGGGCCAGGGACGTTCGTGTGGCCTGTGTCGCACCAGCTGCTGCTGTCTCCAGTTAAGCCGTGTTCTCAGATCGAGACGTTCCGCACAAAGTCCGGGTTTCTGGCTCCTCCAGGACAACGGGCTGACGAGAAATGGGGCGGCTCCTTCCCAAGGGCCCCTCCTCTCCTCGTAGCCTGGGGCTTCACGACGTCCCAGGTCTGTCACTGAGGGCTGGTGACAGCTGTCATTTTTCATGGTGTTTGAAGTGGTGTTTCTCTTACAGTAAAGAAACATTTCTCTGAATCCTGACTCTTTCAAAGATGAGGAAAAGTTTTAGAAAGACCCAGAACACATATGATGACAAAAGCTTTGCTCAATCGCACCGGCCTTCCTGTAAAGCGACAGCAGCCAGGGCAGCCTGTGTCCGCAGGAGAGACAAAGGGTCAGTGGGTCAGAAAGGACAGTCCCTAAAGAACTTCCATATTTACTTTTTGACAAAAAAATCAAAGTAATTCAATGGAAAATATGGGATTATGTAGTGTCGGTCCCACAGTTGGTGTCACCTCTTTGGACAATTTCAAAGGTGCCCCTGTGGGGGGCGGGGCTCACAATGGCACCACTGGGGCCTTCAGAACCACCTGGGCCTTCCTCTGCACAGACAGGTGCAGTGGGTGTTGCAGCAGGCCTCCAAGGTCATGGGCACAGTTCAAGCACGACCTCCCTCCTGTGGACACGGGTCCTCTGCCGCTGACTTCCCAGGAGACCAGTTTAACACAGACGTGGGTGACAAGGGACATTGAGGAGACACAAGGATTTCTTGGCCACAGTGATAGGGAGGGGTGATTTGTCAGAAGCTGTCACTGCTCAGTGTCCACATCGTGTCTCTGAGACCTGGGGCTGTGCTGTTGAGGGATTTTGGAGGCGGCTATGACGCAGTGGAAATCTGAAGGACAAAGGTCTGTCTTGAGGAAGGTGATTCCTCCCTGGACTCTGTGCCTGTCACTGGGCAGGTGGACTGACTGGGGCTGTCACTGTGCAGGAGGCTGTGGCTCTGCCCTCAGTGTGGGGGTGGGGAAGGTGACAGGCACATGGGTTTGTGTTTTCCAGGCTCAGCAGCTGTCACCACGTGTCCAGAAGAAGTGAGAGGCCCTGTGTGGGGCTCGCTGACTGTTCAGTGTCGCTATGTCCCCGGGTGGGAGCCCTACGTGAAGTACTGGTGTCAAGGAGCTCATTTCCGTAACTGCAGGATCCTTGTTAGAACCAGTGGATCAGAGCAGGAGGTGAAGAAGGACCGTGTGTCCATCAGGGACAATCAGACCAGCCGCACCTTCACCGTGACCATGGAGAAGCTGATGCGGGAGGATGCAGGCACTTACTGGTGTGGGGTTGAGAAAAACGAAACTGATGACACTGGGACACCAGTTAAAGTGACTGTTGGCCCAGGTAAGAGAGTGTGTGTGGGTGGCTGTGTGACTTCAGGGCCTGCTCTGTCCTTGTCCCCGAGGTCCCTGTCCAGGGACTGTGCTCACTCAGAGGGAACTGTCACAGAGGGTGGTTGAGTCCTGAGGTTTCATGGGACCTGCTGTTCTCATGTGCTCAGAGGGGCAGGGAGTCTCTTAGCAGCTCTTGAAGAGAGGGACTGTCACTCAGGAGTTGGTTAGAGTGAGCAGTGTCCTGGCTCTAGTTCAGACCCTCTCAGGGAGGGGGGCTCAGGAACCTGGGCTGTTTCAGAGCCTCCTCAGCTGGTGGTGACTTGTAGCCAGAGCTGAGTCCCCTTCCCTAAAGCACTCAGAGTACTGGGAGGGGACAGGCAGTGAAGCCAGGGTGACATGCTCTCTGGACTGTCACTCTACCCGGCTCACCTACATGCCTGAGTCTCTGCTTGGGACAAAGAAAGATGGGACCATCATCAGTGTGGTCAGTGCAAAGTCGGAGACACACAGAGTGGTGCCACAGGGAACAAGACCAGAGGTGAGAAGGTGCCTATTCTGGGCCAATGGTCAGCCATGGGCACAGTTTGTACTTGATGTTCAGAGGTCCAGGTCTAGGGGGCAGGGCCACTTGGCTGCCCAGCTCTGCTGCTTCCCATCCCCCAGGTGAGCGCCCAGGAACCAGAACCTCAGTGCTCGGGGCTGGTTCCCTGGGTCCCCCTGGGCCACCCAGAGACTCTCCCCGTCTCCAGGCCTTAAACTCACATCTGCAGAGTCCCTGCTGCCATGTGAGGGCCGTGTTCACAGAGTGGGGACGGGCGTGGTGTCTACACAGACTGCTGTGCTGTTTAAGCTCTATCCCCAATTTCTATTTGTAGTGCTTTCTCTTTCTATTTAGTCAAAAGATTTCACCGTTTCCATTCTAACCGTTTTCTTCTCTCACTGGTCATGTAAGAGGAGTGTATTTTCACCTGGGAACATGTGTGAACGTTTCAGCTCTTGGTTTCTGCCTCAGCTGAACTGGACTCAGAGACACATGCAGGGGTTTCATCTCGGAGTTTTTAGGGACCCGCTTCTGCCGGGTCTCGAGATGCTCAGCGTCTGCCCCTGTCCTCTGTGCTTTAAAAAATGTTGGAGCTGCCGGACACCTGCTTCCCATGCACTTCCGGCTTCCTCCCAAACGTGTGACAGGGAAACAAAAATCTGCAGAATCAATTCAAAAACAACTGTGTATTTATTGTCTAATAAATACATGTTTAAACTTCCGTCTCCTTCCAAGTCCTTTCCGTCTGATGCAACACCCCCACTGAGACATTTTTTCCACTGCTCAAAACATTTTTGAAATCGTCAGTTTGAGGCTTTTTTTTGTGTTACAGCCATTTTTCTTTTTATCCTCTTTCACATCAATGAAGTATACACCGATTATGAAATGGGCAAACATGTTGAAAGAGTCTTCAAAAAACATTCACTGGTGCTGAACGCAGCCTCTCGCAACAACACCAGCTGGTGCACTGGTCCAGATGGGCTCCTAGGAAACTCCCCTAGTGGGGGAGCTGTGCTCTACAAGGGGCCCGCCCTCCAGAAGATAATTCAGGTTGTTTGGGTGCCCCCTCACACACTGCAGCATCCACACCTACTGGTCTTTGGCAGCAGATCAATCATCAGAGTCTATCATTTCTGTGACCAGTCTGCCTATGGTTCATAAGCTTAAGGGATTTTTGATGGAAGTTGTATTTAGTTTATTTCCTTTGCCATGGGTGCCTTCATGAAAAAGGTCACATGGAAAATACTGGGAGGGCTGGTGTCCTTGTAGGTTGTTTGTTTGAAGAGAGGAGGTAATAAGGCTTGTCAGTTTTCTCATTTTTTTAACTCTTGCTTGACTTTTTTTCATTAAATTTAAGAAAAATCTTACAAGACACAGAGGTCCTAGCCCAGGTGTTTTTATCTTACACTGAAGTTGATGGAAAAAATGGGATCATGTGACATGGGTTCCACAGTTGGTGTCACCACTTTGGTCACTTTCAAAGGTGCCCCTGTGGAGGGCGGGGCTCACAATGGCACCACTGGGGCCTTCAGAACCACCTGGGCCTTCCTCTGCACAGCCAGGTGTAGCGGGTGCCCTAGTCCTGCCTCCAAGGTCAAAGGCACAGGTTAGACCCTCCTGTGGACACGGGTCCTCTGCCACTTCCTCCCCAGGAGACCAGTTTAACACAGACGTGGGTGACAAGGGACATTGAGGAGGCACAAGGATTTCTTGGCCACAGGGAGGGGGACAGGTGATTTGTCAGTAGCTGTCACTGCTCAGTGTCCACATCGTGTCTCTGAGACCTGGGGCTGTGCTCTTGGGGGATTTTGGAGGCGGCTGTGACGCAGTGGAAATCTGAAGGACAAAGGTCTGTCTTGAGGAAGGTGATTCCTCCATGGACTCTGTGCCTGTCACTGGGCAGGTGGACTGACTGGGGCTGTCACTGTGTAGGAGGCTGTGGCTCTGCCCTCAGTGTGGGGGTGGGGAAGGTGACAGGCACATGGGTTTGTGTTTTCCAGGCTCAGCAGCTGACATCACGGGTCCAAAAGAAGCGAGTGGCCCTGAGCAGGGTTCGCTGACTGTTCAGTGTTGCTATGTCCCAGTGTGGGAGACCTACGTGAAGTACTGGTGTCAAGGAGCTCATTTCAGTAACTGCAGGATCCTTGTTAGAACCAGTAGATCAGAGCAGGAGGTGAAGAAGGACCGTGTGTCCATCAGGGACAATCAGACCAGCCGCACCTTAACAGTGACCATGGAGAAGCTGATGCGGGAGGATGCAGGCACTTACTGGTGTGGGATTGAGAAAAGTGGATATGACCCTGGGATCCCAGTTAAAGTGGCCGTTTTCCCAGGTAAGAGAGTGTGTGTGGGTGGCTGTGCGACTTCAGGGCCTGCTCTGTTCTGGTCCCCAAGGTCCCTGTTCAGGAACTGTGCTCACTCAGAGGGAACTGTCACAGCAGGTAGTTGAGTCCTGAGTCTTGGGACTCACTGCTCACGTGGACTTGGAGGGCAGGGAGTCTCTTAGGGTCTCTCTGGCTCCGGTGGCTCCTCCAGGGCCGGGCCAGGCCTTTCTGGGCAACTGAGTTTCTCCGCCCACCTCCATCCCTGACCTGTTGCCCAGAGAGATCACAGTGATGGTCCCTGATTCAACCTGGGGGCCATCGGGACCCTCCTTGGTGGGATCCAGAGATCCCAGTTCCTGCCACTGCTGTCCTGGGACCTCTGGTGTCCAGGTGTCCCTGCGGTTTGCGGAGTTTGGAGTCCGGACTCATAGGTGCCGATCCTGTTCCTTGTTCCACAGTTGGGGTGCTGTGGCCCAGTTCCTGAGGTCTGCAGAGGTCTCCACAGTCAAAGAATTATATCCCGGTTGCCTGTATTTTATTCACGAGCTGTGTATGCACCTGGGCTTAAGACAGTATCTCCCCGTCCTAGAGGCTGACTCCTCTGAGAGTATCTTGGTTTGAACCAGTTTATCTTTTGGGCTCTGCTTCTGCTGACCCTCAGACAGCTAGTTCCAGCTCACAGGTCACTCCTGGTGGCAGCTGGGGGACACACTCCACAGAGTCCCCACCACACTGTAACCTTGGGGGGGCTGTTAAAGCTGCAGAGTGTGGCACGTTGGTTGTGTTGTAGATTCCTGACCCTGTGTCTGAGCAGGAACTATTTTAGTTGTAGAAACGTAATAACTTGTCTGATGTAAGGGATCATCCTGAATGTGGTGATTCTGTTAAGGGCTGGTCCCGACCTTAGAGTCTCTTGGGTACGTTACCCCCAAGGCAGCCCCGCTTCTGCCCCTGTACATACTGGGTGAACCAGATGGGGGGGGGGGGCTTTGGCCAAAGTTGTGTGCCACGCAGCACATTGTCTTTGACCTTGCCCAGACTCCCCACCATCCGAGGCCCTGAGTCTGCCAGAGGCCGAGGAGATATGGGCGGTCCAGGCTACAGGCCATTTCCCATGGCCCTGCTCCTGAGTCCTCAGCCAGGGCAGTGCCCACGCCTCCGGGCTGAGAGCCAGGTGCAGGGCTGTGGGAGGGGGCAGGCAGAGTGGAATGTCACCTGTTCTGTGTGCCGAGCAGCCACTACAGTGTCGACCACCCCCACCACCACCACGTCCACAGTGCCAGTCACCACAGAAGCCCCTACAAGCTCCCCGACTGTGAGCGGCCTCCACCCTGAAGGCAGGTAAGTCAGCTCAGATGCTGCTGTTCCCTGTGGCCCGCTTGTCCCAAACTTCTCCAGTGTGGGGATTCATTGCAGCCCGAGGTCCTAGCCAGGATGCAGGGTCCCTAGCCCCTGCCTCCTGCTCTCAGGGAGCACAGGGTCCATGGTGACCCCCTCCCAGACCTGCCTCCTGCAGCTCAGGGCATTGGGAGGTTGTTTTCCTTCCTCATCCCTCCGACTGCACTGAGTGAAGTCCTGAGTACCAGCCCTGTGCTGAGTCTGGTCACATGGACATGGAGTGACCCCCATGGAGCTGAGAGTGTGGGACATGGACGAGCAGCTGGTCACGACAGTGGATGGGTTGGGCTTGGGGGAACGCCCTCGTGGGACCCTCCTCTCCTTTTATTACAAAGCCATTTTGGAGGGCACCCGGGGATGGGGGCTTCCAGGCCGGGAGCTGCAGGTCACCGGGTGGGGGCCTCCCTGCCACCAGGAGGGTGGGATGAGGCCCAAAGGCAGAGGTGTCTCCTGCTGTTTCCAGGGGCATCTTCTCGGAGCTCAACATCCTCCTGCCCCTGCTCTCCACTCTGCTGCTGCTCCTCCTGGCGGCGGCCTCGCTGCTGGTGTGGAGAATCGTGAAGCGACGTAAGAAAGGTGAGAGGCCTGGTGGGGCTGGGCGGGGGCTGGGCGGGGTGGCAGCGTGTGGGGCCCATGGCCGGAGTTGTCACCCAGGAGCCACCCACCTGTCCCAGGGATTACCCATGTGGCTTGGGAGGGGTGTTGTCCCAAAGGCCAGTGGCAGCGGAGCCCTGGAGACCTCGACATGAGTGTCATCTGCCCTACACATCCCTCCTTGCTCTCCTCTGCTCTCTGACCTGCTGCCTCCCTCTCTGTTTCCTGGCTTGGCTCTGGCTGGCAGCAGTGACAATGGCCTTGGGCCCATCTCAGGTGCCCAGTTTCTTCAGTGGAATTCATGTGGTTGCCAAGGAGGCACTGAGCAGACATGGGGATATGGAGAAACGCACCCATGTAGACGTGCACACACATATGTGAATAAATGCACACAGGCCATACACATGCACGCACAGTGAACACACACAGATGCATGTGCACATATGACCACACAACCACACATACACACACCACACACATGACCATACACATGTGTGCACACGACCACACATGCACACACACATCACACACAGAGTCCACCGGGTTTTATAAAAGGGTCGGCAGTAGTTCCTACGTTTGCTGCTCCTCTGCCCCAGCCCCACACAGGCGGACCTGCCGCGGGCACACTTGCTCTTCAGAGAAGAGCCCCCTGGCCCAAAGCCAGCGCTCACCCAGCACGAGACCCGGCCTTGACCCCCCTCCTCCTGTCCGGGTCCGCTTCCACGTCCTCACACAATGCACCTCGCCCTTCTCAGAACCCACTGGGACCTACGCTCCAGCACCCCCCACCCCACAGCCTGGGGGTCATGGAGTGTGGGAGGAGGGAGCCTGACTCTTGTTCATCACAGTGTCTCCCGAATGCGTTGTCTGTGGCTCACACTGCAGGTCTCTCTGCTCCCTGGCACCTAGACATCCGAAGCTAAAAATCGGCAGGGGGAATATTTCTGGTTTCCTCATTGTCTCTGAATCTGGGGGCGGGGGGGTGCCAGAGGGTGGGAAGAGATGGGAGCCAGTGGACATGTGGACGGAAGCCGGTTCCTCTGTCGCTGACCCAGCATGAGCGCTCCATTCGGATGGCAGCCTGGTGCAGTCCTGTCTCCGCAGCTGACTTTTACTGGCGGGGCACTTGCGTGCCAGGCAGGGCAGGCTCAGCAGCCCACTGCCCACAGCCCCCCAGACGACTAACCAGAATCCACTGGGACAAAGGCGAGGAGACAGACATACATGAAGCCGGGCAGGGAGGGATCAGACGGCTGGTGGCTGGGGAAGGTAGGTGTGGACGACCACTGAGGCAGAGACATGGTGGCATTGCAGGCAGAGTCCTGGCGGGAGTTACGGGCTGAGGCTGGGGTGGCAGTGAAGGAAACTCAATTCCTTTGATGGCTGACGGGGCCACCCAGTCAGGTGGCGTCACAGTTCTGTGATGTGACAAACAGATGGGCTGAAGGCCCCTTATTCTTCACGTCAAGAAATGGAAGGAGGGCCCCATGTCACAGCCTGTGTCATGGGAAGACTCAGAATGAAAACCAGGTCCCTTCTCGGAGCTTGGACCCCCATTCGCCTCTTCTGCATTTCTCTCCACCAGGCCTGGGGACTGGTGAGCCTCAGGATGAGCTTTCTAATTCTGATCCTCCTTGTCTTTTAGCTGCCGGGATGCCCCCAGAGCAGGTAAGAGCATCCCTGAAGTCAGACCAGTGACCCCAGATGACCCCTTTCCCGTCTTCTCCTTTTCCATCTCCCAGGGGCCCTGGCTGGCCGTCTGCTGCAGGGCCTGGGAAGATGGAGTGTGTGGAAATAGCCAGGCCGGAGGGGAGGAGGGGAGGAGGGGAGGGAGGGGGCAGGTGCGGGAGACTAGGAAGTGCGGCTTCCAGGGAAGCTGGGGGTGGCGGGGCAGCAGACAGGCTCATGTGTGTCTGCAGCAGCGGGACGTGGGCTTCCTCTCCCAGGTGCTCCAGCCCCTGGAGAGCGATGTCTGCTATGCCAACCTGACCCTGCAGCAGCCTGGAAGCAGCCCCAGCTCCACCAGGAAGAGGGCCCCCGCAAAGCACTCTTCTGTCCGGGAAGGCCAGGAGGAAGTGGAATATACCACCATGGTGTGTCCTTGGTGGGGCGGCCATGGGCCTCAGAGACAGACCCGCCATTGTCCCCTCTTGGAGGGTGGGCTCTCTCCCTGCCCGTGTGGGTACCGAGGAGGGTGGGTGCCGGGCAATATTGCAGCCGTTTGAAGACTTGCCTGCCAGGCTCCCCCAGGCTCTTGGCCTTTGGAAGTGTCTCCAAATTGGGTCTCAACACTGGGGCCTCAACACTGGAGCCTGGTCCACATTGGGTTGGGCAGGGGAGACCCAGACAGGCCCCGGGACCTGGGACTCCATGCAGAATGGAGGCCCTGGCATGGAGTTGAGGAGAGCGTGGCTGGAGCTCAGGGTGCCTGGCAGGGGGGAGGGGGGCGGAGCCGGAGGGTCCCGGAGTGGGCTTCAGAATGCCTGAGGGGTCCGTCCCCCCTCCACCCGTGAGCATGCCTCTCGCCAGACTCGCTGACCGGTGTGCGTCTTTACTCCAGGCTTCCTTTCCGAAGGAGGACATTTCCTATGCAGCTCTGTCTTTGGACGGCTTGGATCCGGACGCAACCTACGTCAACACAGGTGACATTGTCACCCACCTCCCCAGCAGGGGCCATGGGGAGCTCACAGAATACAGCACCATCATGAAGCCCTAGCCTGTGCTAAGGACCCTTGTCCGACCGCACACATCTGCCCCGTCCGCTCCCTGCTCCCAGCCCTCTCGCTGCCCCCAGCTCTGAACTGGGCTCCAAACCTGGTCTCAGGGGGCTCCTGGGAGATAGAAAGGGATCTCTCTGCATCCCTTTTTCTCCTGCATGGCTTGGGAAGAGGCTAGGGGTCTGTTCTGGGGCTGCTGAAGGAGCAATACTGATGATGAGCACAATAACGGCGATGAACTTTATTTATTGCCACGGTGTGTGGTGGGCTGCACCAGGCCCCTAGCGCTGTGGGTGTGCTCATCTCCAGGACCCAGGAGCAGTAGCTCATATGGCCAAAGGGGCTGTGCAGATGTAATTAAAACAAGGATTTCGAGATGGGGAGATTATTCTGGATTATCTTGGGGGGCCCTTGATATAATCACAAGGGCTCTTGTAAGAGGGAGGCCAGAAGGCAGAGTGGCCACGGAAGCAGAGGTTGGAGCGACGCAGCCCGGAGACAAGGAACGCACAGCCTCTAGAAGCTGGAAAAGTCGAGGGATGGGCCTTTCCGCAGGAACTGTGAGCCCAGTGAAGCGGCAGGCATACCTCCGGTCTCCAGAGTCGTAGGTGAATAAATTCATGCTGTTCATTGAGCCCTGCATTTGTGATGATTGACAGCCACACCAGGGAACAAACAAGCAGTTGTGGCCAGTGCTCTGCCTGCAGCCACCAATGTAACCCTTGTCACCATCCTACCAGGTGCCTTGTCACAGCCTCACTTCACACCCGAGGGGTCGCGGTTCAGAGAGGCTCAGTGACTTGCTGAGTTTTTCTACTCACAAGTGCAGGAGCTGGAATCTGGGGTCTGGAGTCTGGGCCACCACCCGGCACTGTGGGTTTGAGGAGGGTCGTGTGCGTGCGCCTCTCTTGCATTTTGTGCCCCTGAGCCCAGTCTCTTCCAAGTAGCCAGAGCAATCTTTGCAAAGCACGGACCTGCTCACTCCCTGCTGATCACCGTCTGGTGGCTTCTTCCCCAGTCCCCAAGGCCACCAGGACCCCTGGGTGCCTGCCTGCCCCTTTGATCCAGTCTGCGTCCACTCTCGTGGATAACAGCCACACTCTGTCACCTGCTGTCCTTCTAACACAATAAGGCTTGTTTCCTTCTCAGGGCACCGGCATGTGCTGGTCCTTCCTTCCAGAATCCGATTCTTGCAGCTGTCTGAGTAGTGAGCTACTGTTCCATCATCACACCCCTGCTCAGACGTCCCCTCTCGGAGCGGCCCTCCCTGTGAGCCCCGGTAGGCGCAGCCCCCAGCAGGCGCAGCCCCCAGCACGCCTCTGATGTCCTGTCACGTTGTCCCGTTTCGCCTCCTTCACAGTGTTCACCACCCTGTGAACTGTTTACTGGTAGGTGGGTTTGCTGTGTCCCACGCTCCCCTCGGCTGCAGCCTGCCTGCAGGCGGGGACTCGGTCTCCTTTACTGCTGTGTCCCTGTGCCTAAATTAATGTCTGGTACATTCCAGGGAGGGAGCCCTGGGCCACCCTGGGCCACCCGGGCAATGTCAGGAATTCTGGGATTGACTTTCTGAAGCATGAAATGAAGAGACTTCTTTCTCACCTCCTGTGACAGGGAAGAGAGGTGAGGAGCCATGGTCCCTTCCGACAGGGGGACAAAGGTCTGTTACTTCACTAGGCCCCTTTTGGAGGGGGGCTGGGATGACATGTCAGGGAAAGGGGCCGTGGCTTAGGAAGAGACGATCTATGAGCTGAGCCAGTGTGGGCCCGGGCGAGGGGCCCAGCAGGTAGAGTGTTTAGCGGGCCATTCTCAGTGGGTCCTGCGGCTGGCCTCAGGCTTCCCATGGCTCTGGACACCCAAGAGGCCTGGGGGCAGTGGATGGCCATCTCAGCATGGTTCTGCTCCCCCTCCCTGGATAATTCCCCAGGATCTCAAGAGCTTTTGTGTCCTGGGAATTTGCAGAGCCCGCGCAAGCTTAAATGTTCTTGGGCTGGTCGTTTCTGTTGCCTGGGTCAGAGTGAGGCTGTCTGATCCAGGCTGTTTGAAGATCTACAGAACAAAAAGTGCCTCCAGGGAGATCTTTCAGTGGAAAAGGTCAAAGCAGAGCCAAATTAGAGCGAGTCCAAGTGTAAAAATGAGAATCAAAGCAGAAAGCCTCGGGCTAGGGCAGCGCTGTGCCACTTTGCTGTGAGTAAGAGGCTTTACCGCCGAGTCACTAAGCAGCTGGCACAGACAATCCCTGAGCACAAGGTTACGTCGGACAGCAAGGAGCTCGTCTGTTCTGGGAACCTGATCCTAGTGAAGGTGACCGCCATGAATCTTCTGACATAAATCGAGAAACTTGGGGAAGAACAGAATTCAGCTCCATGTGGTTTGGATCGCACTTGCTTTTTATCTGGACCATGGACAGGGGCTGGAAGTGCAAGTTTCTGGCAGCCTGGCTGAGCCGAGGAGAAATAAAAATCAGTTTAGAAAGACAGGTCCACTCTGATCGTTTTTAATGCTTTCATCAAGCGTAACAAAAGATGTCTACCAGATGCATCTCTGGGTAGAATGTTGCATCCGGAATTCCAGCTCTCTGAAAAGGGCCCCTCCCATGTCCTCGGAGATGGAGTTGACTGGCCCACGACATTCAAGACACCTGCCCAACCCATTCTGTAGCTGGACGGAGCACGTTTCTCGCTGGTGGTCCTCCTGGGAAGCATCCAGTTTCTTTCTTTTTCTTTTTTAATAAAGATTTTATTTATTTATTTTCCAAGAGAGGAGAAGGATGGGAGAAAGAGAGGGAGAGAAACATCCATCAGTTGCCTCTTGTACGTGTCCTAATGAGGAGACGCAATCTGCCGCCCAGGCACATGCCCCGACCAGTAATTGAACCAGCGAACTCTTGCTTTGGGGGACGCTGCCCAACTGACGGAGCCACGCTGGTCAGGGTGCACCCAGGTACTTTAAGTGTTGAGTCATGACTGCAGGAACCTGCCTCAAAGCCGGCCCACTCTGTTCATGCCTGCACTGTAGTTTACAGAGTGCTTGGGAAGTGGTCGGGGGTGGGGGAAGGGAAGCAAGCATACGCAAGACGTTTGAAAGGAAGTCGTTTAATAATTTTCACCAATCAGTATCTTGCTGTTGTCTCAGCCATGTCCGGCTGTTCCCTAAAGTCTTTGCAAAGGCAGCTTTCGGTGCCGGAATGGTGTCTGTGGTGCATGAGAGAGTCCAGCTACGGTTCCTGTAGCCCGAGTGGCGGTGGCATTGACCACTTTGCTGTATGGGTTCCAGGAAAGCCCATTTCTATCAAGGCCAATGCCAAGATATTTAACCACTCCGCTCTGATAGATTGCCTCATTATTTCCAGCCTGTCCAAAGTTGCTGGGCTTTCCCCCCTCTGGGTTTTGAATTATTAATACTTAAAGATTCTACTTGATAAAAATTGTAGGGTTTGGATGGTCTCCTTTTGAGAACTGTGTGTATGTTATTGGCTTCCAGGAGACTGAGCCTTGCTGAGAATCAGTTGGCAGAGACAAATGTACTGGGCTGGTGACCTTCAAAATACACCATTAAGATAGATGTTGGATTGAAGTGAGCCCAATGGCTACCTTTGCTCGATACCTTAAAACAGAGCAGCCGCTTAGTCTCGGAAGGGCCAGCCTGCTGGAACCAGTTGATTTCACGTATCTGTAATTTTTCTGATCAGAAGGGGCTGATATAGTGGTCGGCCTTTCATTCGACCAAATAAGTGCATTCTTATCCAATGTCAATGGAATCGGTCAGTTCATTGAAAGAGTTGGTTAAATCATGGAGTCAGAAGAGAGTGAATCTTTTTCTCAATGCTTCCTTTCACTCAAAATACCTAAATGTGCAGCAATTTGCTAGTCCTGTGCTGTAGACCGAAGCCGTTGCTTTGCCTCCGGGCCTGTGGGAAGAAGGGGCCGTTGCGGGTTCTGCAGAAACTGCACACACATCGTGTGGGCTGGAGCTCCAGTTCCAGTTTCTCTAACATGGAGCAAGATGCTCTGGACGCTTGTGGAGCAATCTGGTTGCAAAACCCCTTCTTCATTTTTACTCCGACCATTTCACAGCTGTCTCGCTCGTTCCTAATTTGACAGCATTTAAAAAACGATGTGCTGTGATGAAGCCTTTCCAAAGCATTCAGTTTAGTTTTTGTAGCAATAAATAACAGTTCTCCTTCTGTTTATACTCTTGTTCATTTGTCAACACCCTTCCCGTTTATACTTTCATTGATTAGTTTATGGGTACATTAATTAAGTCACATAGCTGTAATTAATATGTGCGACAGGCCTAAGCAAGCTTGGGCCCAAACACGGAGGAGTGTTGTTGAACATGCACCTGAACAGGTGAGAGTGGGAGTGAGCGGGCCGTCAAGGGAGGGCTGAAGTCAGTACATTTCACCAAGAGACTGAAGGGTTGGTTGATCCAGTAAGTTGGTTAAGAGAGGGACTGATTAAGAAAGTTTATACTAAACCATCTGTTACAACCATACTTTCATTAAAGGAAGGACATCCGAGCGCCCCAAGTCACAACAGGAGTCAGTGTTTCCCAAGAAAGGACAGTTGGCAACTTTCTGCCAATATGCATTCATGTTGTGTGTGCCTCGTGTCCTATGCACTGACTGACAGTTTGTTAAGGGCTGGCACTCATGTGTGGACCGAGGATCGGCAGCCACGGGTCTTGTTTATACTGTTCTCTGGACATAGATCCCTCCGTTCAGCCCCGCTGGCCCAGAGTCCAGCCTCCCCCAAAGGCCGCTAGTAAGCTAGTAATCATACGCGTCTGGAGGCTGACTGAGGTCGTCAGTCATGAGGGCCCTGTGGCCCAACATCCCTGGGGACCAGGGGCACTCAGATGCCCCCGCCCAGCGCAAGCCCTTCCCCACAGTGACCTCACACTCATGTGGTCCTGTCCTGAGGCTGTGACGTTCTCATGTCAAGGAAGGGTGACCGCCTCACTGGTTTTGCTGAAGGAGGCTGTGAGGATGGGTTCAGAATGAGGAGAAGGGTGAGACTCTGGTCTTGACAGTCAGAAATAGAGAGGAGACATGCTGAACCTCGTGTGGCAGGAAATCTCCTCTTAGCAGAGGGTAACTTTCTCCCGTGTTCACTGCAGGTCTCAGAAAGAAAATCCCATGGTGGGGGGGGGCTTCCGAAGCCCCCCCAGCCCTCCCTGTCACCTTCCTACCTTCTGTGACGTGAACCCAGGTGTCCCCAGTCCTATCATGTATAGCTTATTCATTTTCATTTTAAGTTACAAACTGCTCAATGCATATGATATGTTTATGTAATGTGTTATATAGGCTAGTGAAACAAACTCCATGGCCAGCCACCCTGCTGAAGAAATGGAACAATCCAAACACCACTGGTTATTTGCCCTTTTCTCCTCCCAAGGAGGAATACGCTGTGCTAGGCAGCTCTAGGGGTCTGGGGCTGCCCTCGGACCACTATCCTCTCTGTCAAGTGAATCAGCAAGGTCACCCGATGAACTTGTCTGCATTGTGCGGCGCTCTGTACTAAACTGACACCTCTACGCAGCTCTTCTGATTTCAGTATCTTTCACCCCAGCCCCCTGCCTCCAAACCACAGCCAACTTTCAATTGTGCCTTCATGTTACTTAAGGATCTGGTGA